CCTGATTTTAGTTCAACATAATCTTGATAATCAAAGAGGAGGCCACTGAATGCACAGTATGATTCAACACTTTCATGCAGAAGCACTATGCTTCGTGATTGATGTCCAGCACTTGTGTGTTTGACATTGGGTAGCTTATAGATGGGGTCAACTAGCCACTTCGATTCCTTCAGAATTTATACTAACACAAGCATCCTATTTGAACGATAATCTCCTAACACTTTAGAATTTATTTCATTTATATGAGTTACAAGGCATTTAATTTATCACTAGTGATCAGATACATGATACCGCAGTATCATATTTTCGGTGAAGTATAGCGTATTTCCAGACCATTAAGGATAGTAGTAGTCGTCTACGTTCGCTTTAGTTGCATTAATGGCATATAATTTAAGAAAACAGTAATTATGTGGGCAATGGATTTCTGCGCATATTTTATCGAAACAGGCAAAGTCAGATGGGTACGGTAAATACTTTAAGTCATCAAAGGCTTATTTAGTTCAGAAATTCGATGATCTTTAAAAGTGGGAATTCGATAATGGTTAATGACATGAAATCTGGTTGTTGATACTTTTTCTATTCAATATTCAATTAATAAGAAATCAGAACGAAAGTGCCAAAAGAAACTGAGAAAGTTTATTCCACATCATGACTGAGGTAATCAAGGCAATACTGTATATTCATAGAATGACCCTACAATCTATCCATTTAGAATGCCAATTTATAGAGTCAGATGGGTAGTTCTAGACATACTTGAAAATCTTTAAGTCACATGATAAAGATTAGTTGAGGTTTCGGTAAATTTAAGTGTTTGGGAAATACCTTTACTTTTAGTCTTAAGTTTATGAGAATTTTATTCATTTCAAAGGTAGCATTCATCATGGACTGACATTAACTTTTCAGTTCGTGATAATTACCAACATGCAATAAATAAAATCTTCATAAACCTCCAGTGAAATTACTGTATATATTTTTCATCTACGCGATGAATGTCCCGAGGTCCTTTTAAGAAATCCTAACCTATGGGGTCAGTTAGCCAGAAGTAAAGTGGATGCCAAATGAGGACAGTCACTTAATCGTGAGTAGAAAAAGTGGGAATCTGCAGGTCATTGAACTCCGAACCAGTGGCCCAATGGTTAACATGCTTACAGTGAACCCTGAAGGTTCTGAGTTTGATAACTGATGTGATCATGAGTGCTTGTTGCTGAGGAATCCCATACTGTGGTGAAACAGCTGTTTAGTACTGCCAGGTTTTCAATGGTTCTCCAACTGAGGTCAATCAGCTATGAAAACTACCTTGGAATAATTATACTTCCAACCGTCTTAAGAAATAATAGAATAAGGCTTTCATGGGGATGCTTTCAATAACCTGCCCACTTTATCAACAGCATACTCCTTGTTTATGGTTTATGTGCTTCTCTGGATTGAATACCTGAATGTGTACTGTGACATTACACTTATATCAAGAAACTTGAAAAGACTGTTCTGGTTTTATTTAACTCTCAGTTATTGAATAAGTAGGAAGAGATCAAAAGAGATGAAAACAATGGAAGATAGTGAAGAAAACCTAGTTACTAAAGAGGAGAAACAAAGGAATCGATGGGCCGACCACTTCAGAAAACTCTTGAATCGATTACTACGACCACCTGCGACTCATTCAGAAATACCACCAGCAGCACAACTACACAACTACTAGTGACCACAAGCCCAACGACAAAAGCATAAGCAGGGTCCTGAACGTCGTAAATATATTAAAAGCCGGGAAAGCAGCAGGACCACATGGAATTCCACCAGAAGCATTGAAAACAGACACGCAGACAACATTGGACACGCTCACACCACTATCACAGAAGGTTTGGAAGCAAGGAAGGAAGGAAGGAAAGAAGGACAGGTACCTGCCGATTGATTGGAAGAAGGGCTACCTTGTCAAACTTCCAAAGAAAGGAGGCCTAAGTCCTTGCAAGAACTGGTGAGGAATGATGCTCCCTTCCTGTCCACCTAAAGCAAGGAAACCAAATAGTGAGCTGCATCATCCTGGAGCTCTGGATTCAAAATTACCACTGGAATAGCCTGGGTGGCTGGCTGGTTTTAGAAAGAACAAATTATGTGCTGATCAAATTGCAATGCACCATCTTAGAACAACAGAACATAGAATGGCAGTCAACTGGAGCTTTACCTCAATTTGATCAATTCTGAAAAGGCCTTCATTAGCGTCGACCGAGAATAATTTTAGCGGTTGCTGCTTCAACACCGGCTTCAGTGTCACAAGCCTCTATCAACCTCATTCAACAGTAGCTATATACTATATGAGGATGTTGCATGGCAAGTGATTGAAAATGGAAAGCTGAATGACGCGTTTGGAGTGAAGACAGGAGCGAGTAAGACAAGGCTGCCGCCTACTATCACCGATGGTCTTCCTGACTGTGGTCGACTGGACTGGACTGGATCATGTAAAAACCCGTGAGGAGCGAAAGGAGGGTCATATACTGGTTGGACCCATGAAAAGACCACAATGTTTGCATTTCACCAACGATGATGATTTATGCCTAATGTCTTGTCGGAGAAACTCCAAGATCTACAGGCGAAAACTAACAAGCTGACAGTAGCCTCTTTCAACTACTCAGGCAAGGCAGCATCGTTTCAATTACAGGCGGCGTCGGCGGAACAGATGAGGATGTCAAAGCAGCCAGGATAGTAAAGACAGCGAAACAGGCCTTCATTAGTCTGAAATCAGTGCAGAGATCTACTACACTGAACTGCAGTTAACAAGATCCGGATTTTCAACACTAATTCAGTCAAGTAAGTCAGTGCTTCTATGTAATGGTTGAGAGACTTGGCGGCGTGTCACGGAAAGCATTTCAAACAAACTACAGATATTCATCAACAGCTGCCACCTACACTCACTCGATACTGACACTGAAGATCAGATGACAGAATAAAAGGAATAAGCAAGAAGGAACTCTGGTTGGCTGTCTGTCTGTCTGTCTGGCTGGCTGGCTGGCTGACAACGAACCAAGCAAGAACCCATCGACCAACAAATATGCATCAGCAGAAGGAAGTGGAGATGGATTGTATTGTGCATACACTGAGAAGACCGGATGGAGACATCACGCACGAGGCGAGAGCGTGGAGTGGGACTGAAATGGGAAACGACGAGTTGGGCATCCGAGGTGAGGGTGACATGGAGGAAGAAATGAAATGTAATGGGGAGTGGTGTAGGTAGGTTTAGAAGAGTGGAGAGAAGGGAGTGAAATGGTGACGTGTTGCTGGAGCCCTATGTTCCACTAGGAACCCAAGGGACAATTAATAATATATTAACAGCTATCGACTCTTCATTTTATTGAATGTTTAAGAAGTAAGTTTTCTGAAATCATCGGCTCAGTATGTGAGACTTTCAAATTCTTTCTCAGGTAAGTAATCGGAGGAAATTTCATCGTTAATCTCTCTTTTTGTCACTGTGTTATGAGTGTGGTACTTAGATGAGAAGATAGTCTTCTGGCTTTGGAATTGTGGTGGTTTTTATATCCTACTGCTAAAACATCATTGTTTTCAGCTTCCTAACTAGATATATAATTTTAACTGGTATTTTTCGAGGTTCTGAGGTTTCATAGCCTACAATAATCGATCTCCGATAGTTGAGTGTAAGTTACGTGTAGTTATATGGTACACTGCGTCAATGATTATTTGAGGTGAATACATAAGTGATATTTACATTGTTAATGTCTGTACTCAGTTATATATTATAAAGTAAGCCAAATTGAAACTGCCAACTGTTACTAATAGTAAAACTTTAGTTGTATTCTACAGTTGTAATCAGATCTTGAACAATAAATTGTAAAATCAACAATCATATATGTCGACTATCTCAGATAAATACTCAGGATATCATAGCATACTCTTACCTTGTTTACAACTGTACAAAGTAATGGTCATACAATGCGAGTATAGGGTAGAGAATTGTTAAATAACCACTCACACTGATTGATAAAGCTTTGTTAGTGGATATTAAAGTGTATGTTTGTAATCTGGTGAACAGGGGTGAATGAAACAAAATCCTGTGAACTGATGCTAACTAGCTGTCCTTTTGTTACTCATCTACCGGATATCACTGCTACTTAAAATTTAATGTCACTTCGCTCATCCGGATTTTCACTAACTATTTTCCTATGAGATGCTTGAATCTCAATCTAGCTTTACACTAGTTAGTATCTCTCCTTCCAAATGATTGGCAGTAAGGTTAGCTGAGATAGTGCTTATAGGTAACATTAGTTAACAAAGGCTGTCGATCAGCATATAGGCATTTTCAAACGTGGCTAAGAGGTCGGAAAGGTTGCCTATATCAATCAATAGATAAAGGTTTCCTCATATGATGGCCTAATTATGCATTTCTTTGCAGATTCAACCCAAACCTTCAGTTACGCCTACATTCAATGAAATCCTCTTAAGCTGTCAGGGGTTAGACGAAACAAAACATTATTAGACTAAACAGTTACCGACAAGTTTGAAAGGGTATTATCTGTATACTTGGAGTTCCACACATTCGGACGAAAACTATTTCTGATTCGTTATCATATCACTCTATCGAATAATCTATATAGTCTATTCAAGTAAAGGTTCACTTCATTCACTTCAAATTATCCTTATAAGTAGATACTGCTTTTTTCTTTCAGACTGGTTGTCTCCTCCCGTTTATCGTTTGTTAACTGTCAACAAATACTATAAGTCGAACATACCAAGTTATGTCATATCTAAGTAACCTTATTTTAGTCTTCAATTTCCTTTTATCTTCTCCTCTACTAACTGACTTACCTTGGGATAATTTACCTTCAATTTGAACCAATCAGATGAAGTGAATTCGAAGTCAGTAATATGTGGGAGATGGTTGGTTGAACTGGTTAACTAACTGACTATAGTAGAAGTGAAATTCATCCAATCGTTTTATACCAAACAAATTACCCGGTTGTCTTTAGATTAAAAAAACAATTCACATATACATGATTGTGTACGTAATAATGGCCTTTTTTGCAGACATTTCAGTATTAGCTATACATACATATATGTATTTGTATGACTTTAGTTGCTAGGACTTTTGAAAAACAAATGCTTGTGTAACCAACAAATCATAACATAAATATTCATGTTCCAATGTTGTATAGTAAACCCTAAATTAAAAATATAATATTGAACTTTTGAATATCTTAATTCTGTGAATCTGATTTTCACTTTGCATACAATAATACAGAAATGAATATTGTACAATTGAAATCATAAAATAAAGATCAGAATGCAAAAATTTGAAAGTCAAGGCAAAATGAAGATGGTATATAGGTAAGTTGTTACTATTGCAATTATTAGTGTACTTTTTGACTTCTAATATGGCTAATGAGTTATTATAAGCTTAATGAGAAAATATCTTAACTTCACCTTAGCAACAAACGAAATGACCAGTCAAACTTCTTTATTTCGATTAAGAAGGTAGATCTCTAATAGGCTACTTAAGTATTTCTTTGGGTTCCTACATAATTTCATAAATTTGATTCACCTGAAAAATTCAGATTTGATCTACAGAACAAAAATATATCATTGAAATTGAATTGATAGTGGTTAGCAAGGGAATCCAGGATACATGTTTCATTCTCTTTAGGACTCATCAGCTGAATGTACCTGCATCCTAAGTGGTTTCATTGGGCTAGTGAATTACACTTTGGCGTTCAAAGTGATGCATAAGAGATCGGAGTTTCTGTGAGAACATTATCACTCACTGCAGTGTAGATACGTCTAGGTAACGTATTCCAAACAGGATGAAGTGCGTACACTGGATTCCACTACTAGCCACTACAAAGTCAATTATTACAATAACTATGCAGGAAGTATCGAGGAAGCAAAGGGGAATTACAAGTATCAGCAAATAACGATAATATTTTATTTTTTCAAATCATTAAAAATTTTCATGATAATTCAAAAGATATTTAGTTGAACAAAGAATATTCTTTTCAATAAATTCATCTTCAGGTTCTACAGTTATATAAACATAATAAGGAAGTACGAGTAAGCAGTATGGCGATTCCACTCATCAGTTTGTTAATCACATCATAAGGTTGATGAAGTCAGTTAAGAAAAGTCGTGTATGAACGTTTATGATGAAATCAATTGGTACTAGGATTCAGTTCAAAATAATTGATCATCGAAATGATTATATGGCTTATGTAATACTATAAGGCGAAATTCTTTGGGTAATAACAAGAAGGTTTTTATGACATTGGATGGATTAAAATGAGAAGAACAAAAATAGGTTAAGAGAATTTGTCAAAATTATTTTAGATTTTAGAAAAGAAGGGGTATCTACAGTATGGAATTAGATCATTTGGTAAAGGATGCTAACGAATTTATACATCCGAAATCGGGCCACGGTAGCTGTAGAGATAAAACCTCCTCCTTCTAAACACACAACTCAAGTTGTTTGATCCTGATTTCTGCAGTTTGAAGGATCCTGAGACCAGAACACTTCGGCAAGTTGATTAGAATGTAGTACAGAATGGAAAACGACTCATTCAGATACACTTTATAGTTCGTTTGAACCATGTATGCTGGTAATGGTCTTAACCAGACCTTTACTTAACCACACTGCGAGGTGTTCATGAGCATATAAAATGAGCAGCGGTAGACTTAGCTGGCCCCACAAAAGCAGTCGAACTAATAAAAACAGCAGAAAGTGACCAGTATAGGCATTTCATCTTTGAGTTTCGGTATCACAATTAGGCGTGTTGAAAGCGAAATTTGTAATTTACCAGCATTAAAAGTTCTCTGAATTGATTTGCGCAGTCTGTGAATTAATATCTTATCGAGAACTTGTATATGGCCTAGATTAAATACTCATTAGAACAAAACTATGTAATCATATACTTTTAGCTATTGTATAAAAACGAATAAGATAATTTAAGATTAGCGAGTCAATAATCTTAAGTAGTGAATCAAAACCAGTGCTAATCTGTTCAAGGTTCAAAAATTCTGCAGAGAGGATAAGGAGTATAAAAAGTAGCAATGAATGCTAGCCTGTCAATTACACAACGCACAAAGAAATGACATCCATCATACAATAGTTTAAATTATGCATCTGTATAATTCTCTTATACTAACCGTTATAAATTTAAACTGTATACTGCTAAGGAATATTCGTGGAATAAAACGATGTCATTTTACTTTGAAAATCAAGTCCTTCTTACTTTGTTTAAATACACATAATTTTTTGCGACGACTGAATTATAACCAGCATGTCACGTGTTCAAACCCTATTTAACCTATCAAGTTTCGGCCAGCCGTTGCACAGAATGTATGATTTTTTTATCTAGTGCATGAAAAGACATAACTGTTGAAATAGTTGAGTTGTTGAGTTTGATAAGCATCTCTTGGGCTTGTTTCGATTTTCCACATTAAATTACTCAATGGATAGAAGATGAAACGGGTTTCAGAAAGCCGCATATTCTAAAATATTCTCATTTCTTTGTAACACTAAAACTTGCAGGTTAAAGGCTACAAATAATGTCACAAAAACACTCAATTACAACTACTCTAAGCATAAAGCAACGTCACTTTCGAATGATAAGATAAAATGATAGTTTGCGACCCAAAAGTGAAATTTCAAAGTTTCAGTAACAATACTATGAACTAGCTGTTTCTGGCAAATCATCACTGTCGTTGTGCGTGATGTAATCTACTAAATCATGGTTGTCAAATTTCTGTCTTACATTTCTCTGCATCTTTTTCAAATTATTATATTAATGAATGGACAATGTGTAATTGTGTGTTCCCGATGAATTAGAATATGTACTGATAACGACTTTTCAGATGGTCTATATGTGTATGTAGAGTTAGCAGTAAACACTATGTGAATAATACTTGCTGTATTACCCTCAAAAGAAACTTAAGATCCTTGGAAATAACTGGAAGCAATCGACAGGAAGTACTGCTCCACTTAGATTTCGGGCTTTCTGGCAATCATCTGTATTGTATATCTTCAACCATGAGGGAACTGGTGTCCTCTCAAACATTCGTAACCGCGTCATCTAGTGTTGAAGTTAAAGGCGTTAGCCTTGAGCTATTTGAGCAGTGATTCACTTTACATAGGACTGGTTATTGGACAGTAAACAATTTCACACTGTTTAGTCCTCAGTGCTGACCAAATTCTACCAATCATTTTGTAATATGATCGGTTACCAAGCGAACAGGCTTAGGATAAAGATGGACTTTGACTGATGTTGAAAGATTCAAGACGATTGGTATGAAGGTTTTGATGTCCGTTTTTGTGCTTCTTTTCGCTCAATCTCAAGAATTATTTGCAATATCAAGGAAACTGTTGTCCTCTCTATGTTCTTCTACTTCCCTTAAGATATACTAAATGAGGCTGAGTGAGATCAGCAGTTAAGGAATACTCAAAATGATTACATAAAAGGGGAACTATTAGACGCTAGCCTTATTTTTTCATACATTTATTTACATGGAAGGCAAGATTTCTTAGTTTTTTTCGTAACTTCTAAGTATATAAAAAAGACTAGGAAGATCTGGGTTGTGTTGTGTTTTCTGAGCTGGGTGGTTCAATCGTGCAGCTCATACTGTCTTTATCGGTAACATCCTTAGCGCTAACTTCAGTATGATTTCATAACTATGACTGGTTTGTCAAAAATATTCCTCGTTTAATCTACAATGGGCGGCTATCCAACAGAAATTCAGTTTCTACCTGAAGGTTCTTCCTGATGGAATAAAGTTTAGCAAAACTGTCAGTTACAATAAACTTTAAATGAAGATGAAATAATTCTCATTCTATGCTATTATCTATGATGCAAGTATTGTAATAATTTGCATAGTTTGGGCTAGAAGAGGAGTCCGGGACGTGCGTTTCGTCCTATTTGTGACTCACCAGCTAGATGTAGCTGTACCCCAGTGAGTGATGCTGTTCTCATGGAGACTCAGACCTCACACCTCTCACTTCAAACCTCATAAGCGCTATCCACTGTGCCACTGAGGTACGATAGTCACTTCTTGTAAAACGGGTATTATTTATTACTATTTGTTGACATGCTCGTAGTTCTGCGTTGTTCAACGGGATTGGATTGTTCGATTCGACGAGTCTCAAATGGTACGAAACGTGTGTTCTGGATTTCTTTGCTAGCCATAACTAAGTAAATTATCATGATAAATATTCAGGCAATATCGAGGCATTCACGTAAGAACCCACATGCCAATATAGGCGGAGCATTTCGATCCAATAGAACCACGGAAAACTACGAACGTATCAACAAATAGTAACCAATATTATAACTAAATAATTAATATTAGAGTTGAACTTAGGCATTGTGATGGTGTATAGTTCCATGTGAGTTTAGTTATTGACTATATCATACACAGAAACAATATTATCTATTTAGTGACGTTCCAAACAAATTTATTTTCCACGGTCATATCGAAGGCAACTCCAAAATCTTCGTACCCATTTCTCATAATTATGCTTCTCCTCTTGTAGTATAATAGGAGTAAGTGTTAGAACCTTCTAAATGTCTGGAATAGGTATGATGTCATTCCTGTTGGATATGTTCGATTCTGATTCGATCGACAAAGCTTCAGCTGAAGAACAAAAATAGGTTATATTGAAGATAATTATCTTTTCGATGACTCATTTTTGCAGCTGTACATTTGGTAATGTTTAAGTAAAGCGATAAAATATTTCAGACAAGTTTCCAGGCAAACTTAGTTGATAGATGTACCTAAAGAGTGAAATGATATTACGCAATACAAGGGAATGTTCTCAATGGTTTTTATAAAATGGACTGAACAGTGAGACTTGGTATTTGGCATAAATAAATAAATAAACAGATATGAACAAATAAATAAGACGACAAAACAGAACATGGACAGAGGTGTATGGTATCTGATTAAGGGCACGGTAAAAAAGCTATAGAACAGATTCAGTCAGCTCCGCTGAAAATACTTTTAGTGAACCTCAAATTCAGAGGTGACATTACTGTAGATATTCTTCGTCAACCATTTGTCAAAGTCCCTACGTAGAACATTTTATGCTGCAGACCTTCGTATTGTGTTCTCACATCAACAGCTGGTTTGTCAGTGCATGAAAGAGAAGTTGACGCATCTGGTCTCATCAGTGTGTATTCACAAGTTCTCTCGCTCCTGTAAACCTAAGCACATCACTCATAACATGTGCTGGCGAACGTTACCCAACCTCACTGTTGAAAAGTGAGCACAAAACCTTTATCGTTGCACACCTAGTAGACTCTGGACTTCCGGCTCTCATAGAAACCCCTTTCAAAGCCCTCTAC